ACCTTCTTACTAAAACGATGAAATTTCAAATTTTTTCTTGTTGAGATTTTGTGTCCTAATGGTCAATTAACATCCCCCAAACTCCATACACTAAATTATTCTCAGATTTGAAGCCGAAATCTATGAAAAAAGGCACTCAGAAAAATTGAAAAATTGATAAATCACCCCAAGTTGCTTAACACGATTTTATCTCAGGAACTATAAGTGCAAATGAGCTGAAATTTTCAGGGATTGTAGTCCTTTGGAAGGGATAAAATTCAGTGAAAGATTCAGCCTTCTATCTATAATAGTAAAAAAGTTATGACCTTCCAAAATTTTCCAAAATCTAAATCATAAGGTAGGAACCTTCTTACTAAAACGATGAAATTTCAAATTTTTTCTTGTTGAGATTTTGTGTCCTAATGGTCAATTAACATCCCCCAAACTCCATACACTAAATTATTCTCAGATTTGAAGCCGAAATCTATGAAAAAAGGCACTCAGAAAAATTGAAAGATTGATAAATCACCCCAAGTTGCTTAACACGATTTTATCTCAGGAACTATAAGTGCAAATGAGCTGAAATTTTCAGGGATTGTAGTCCTTTGGAAGGGATAAAATTCAGTGAAAGATTCAGCCTTCTATCTATAATAGTAAAAAAGTTATGACCTTCCAAAATTTTCCAAAATCTAAATCATAAGGTAGGTACCTTCTTACTAAAACGATGAAATTTCAAATTTTTTCTTGTTGAGATTTTGTGTCCTAGTGGTCAATTAACATCCCCCAAACTCCATACACTAAATTATTCTCAGATTTGAAGCCGAAATCTATGAAAAAAGGCACTCAGAAAAATTGAAAAATTGATAAATCACCCCAAGTTGCTTAACACGATTTTATCTCAGGAACTATAAATGCAAATGAGCTGAAATTTTCAGGGATTGTAGTCCTTTGGAAGGGATAAAATTCAGTGAAAGATTCAGCCTTCTATCTGTAATAGTAAAAAAGTTATGACCTTCCAAAATTTTCCAAAATCTAAATCATAAGGTAGGTACCTTCTTACTAAAACGATGAAATTTCAAATTTTTTCTTGTTGAGATTTTGTGTCCTAGTGGTCAATTAACATCCCCCAAACTCCATACACTAAATTATTCTCAGATTTGAAGCCGAAATCTATGAAAAAAGGCACTCAGAAAAATTGAAAAATTGATAAATCACCCCAAGTTGCTTAACACGATTTTATCTCAGGAACTATAAATGCAAATGAGCTGAAATTTTCAGGGATTGTAGTCCTTTGGAAGGGATAAAATTCAGTGAAAGATTCAGCCTTCTATCTATAATAGTAAAAAAGTTATGACCTTCCAAAATTTTCCAAAATCTAAATCATAAGGTAGGTACCTTCTTACTAAAACGATGAAATTTCAAATTTTTTCTTGTTGAGATTTTGTGACCTAATGGTCAATTAACATCCCCCAAACTCCATACACTAAATTATTCTCAGATTTGAAGCCGAAATCTATGAAAAAAGGCACTCAGAAAAATTGAAAAATTGATAAATCACCCCAAGTTGCTTAACACGATTTTATCTCAGGAACTATAAGTGCAAATGAGCTGAAATTTTCAGGGATTGTAGTCCTTTGGAAGGGATAAAATTCAGTGAAAGATTCAGCCTTCTATCTATAATAGTAAAAAAGTTATGACCTTCCAAAATTTTCCAAAATCTAAATCATAAGGTAGGAACCTTCTTACTAAAACGATGAAATTTCAAATTTTTTCTTGTTGAGATTTTGTGTCCTAATGGTCAATTAACATCCCCCAAACTCCATACACTAAATTATTCTCAGATTTGAAGCCGAAATCTATGAAAAAAGGCACTCAGAAAAATTGAAAAATTGATAAATCACCCCAAGTTGCTTAACACGATTTTATCTCAGGAACTATAAATGCAAATGAGCTGAAATTTTCAGGGATTGTAGTCCTTTGGAAGGGATAAAATTCAGTGAAAGATTCAGCCTTCTATCTATAATAGTAAAAAAGTTATGACCTTCCAAAATTTTCCAAAATCTAAATCATAAGGTAGGAACCTTCTTACTAAAACGATGAAATTTCAAATTTTTTCTTGTTGAGATTTTGTGTCCTAATGGTCAATTAACATCCCCCAAACTCCATACACTAAATTATTCTCAGATTTGAAGCCGAAATCTATGAAAAAAGGCACTCAGAAAAATTGAAAAATTGATAAATCACCCCAAGTTGCTTAACACGATTTTATCTCAGGAACTATAAATGCAAATGAGCTGAAATTTTCAGGGATTGTAGTCCTTTGGAAGGGATAAAATTCAGTGAAAGATTCAGCCTTCTATCTATAATAGTAAAAAAGTTATGACCTTCCAAAATTTTCCAAAATCTAAATCATAAGGTAGGTACCTTCTTACTAAAACGATGAAATTTCAAATTTTTTCTTGTTGAGATTTTGTGACCTAATGGTCAATTAACATCCCCCAAACTCCATACACTAAATTATTCTCAGATTTGAAGCCGAAATCTATGAAAAAAGGCACTCAGAAAAATTGAAAAATTGATAAATCACCCCAAGTTGCTTAACACGATTTTATCTCAGGAACTATAAGTGCAAATGAGCTGAAATTTTCAGGGATTGTAGTCCTTTGGAAGGGATAAAATTCAGTGAAAGATTCAGCCTTCTATCTATAATAGTAAAAAAGTTATGACCTTCCAAAATTTTCCAAAATCTAAATCATAAGGTAGGAACCTTCTTACTAAAACGATGAAATTTCAAATTTTTTCTTGTTGAGATTTTGTGTCCTAATGGTCAATTAACATCCCCCAAACTCCATACACTAAATTATTCTCAGATTTGAAGCCGAAATCTATGAAAAAAGGCACTCAGAAAAATTGAAAAATTGATAAATCACCCCAAGTTGCTTAACACGATTTTATCTCAGGAACTATAAATGCAAATGAGCTGAAATTTTCAGGGATTGTAGTCCTTTGGAAGGGATAAAATTCAGTGAAAGATTCAGCCTTCTATCTATAATAGTAAAAAAGTTATGACCTTCCAAAATTTTCCAAAATCTAAATCATAAGGTAGGTACCTTCTTACTAAAACGATGAAATTTCAAATTTTTTCTTGTTGAGATTTTGTGACCTAATGGTCAATTAACATCCCCCAAACTCCATACACTAAATTATTCTCAGATTTGAAGCCGAAATCTATGAAAAAAGGCACTCAGAAAAATTGAAAAATTGATAAATCACCCCAAGTTGCTTAACACGATTTTATCTCAGGAACTATAAGTGCAAATGAGCTGAAATTTTCAGGGATTGTAGTCCTTTGGAAGGGATAAAATTCAGTGAAAGATTCAGCCTTCTATCTATAATAGTAAAAAAGTTATGACCTTCCAAAATTTTCCAAAATCTAAATCATAAGGTAGGTACCTTCTTACTAAAACGATGAAATTTCAAATTTTTTCTTGTTGAGATTTTGTGACCTAATGGTCAATTAACATCCCCCAAACTCCATACACTAAATTATTCTCAGATTTGAAGCCGAAATCTATGAAAAAAGGCACTCAGAAAAATTGAAAAATTGATAAATCACTCCAAGTTGCTTAACACGATTTTATCTCAGGAACTATAAGTGCAAATGAGCTGAAATTTTGAGGGATTATAGTCCCTTTAGTGGGATGAAATTCAGTGAAAATTTCAGCTTTCTATCTACAGGGTGAGTTACTAAGCGCGCGGTGGTCCATATCTCCATTTTCCAGTATACAGGGTGGCCCAATAACTAGTAGTGACACAAAGTTATGTTTTTTTAAATGACTCTTCTTGTATATTATGATATTTCTGGATTCTGCGGAAAATTCTAAACATAATTCATGTACAATGTCATATACCTCTCTTCAACTGTTTCGGAAATATTGACAGTTGAAAACTGACTTTTTTACATCTTTGACAGACTGTAAAACCTAAATGGTTGATTTTACAAGAAAACGGATTTTACATTCCTATCTTAGTTTTTCATAAACTATCATTTGGCACCAATCTTGAATTTAATCCATGACTAAAAATTCCGCCTAAATTATTAATCTTCGGTTAAATTCAAAGTTGGTGTCAAATAATAGCTCATGAAAATCTAAGATAGGAATGTGAAATCCGTTTTTCTCTATAATTAACCGTTTAGGTTCCACAGTCTGTCAAAGATGGAAAAAAGTCAATTTTCAACTGTCAATAGTTCCGAAACAGTCGAAGATAGGTATATGACAATATACATGAAATATGTCTAGAATTTTCCGCAAAATCCAGAAATGTCATTATATACAGGGAGATTCATTTAAAAAAACATAACTTTATGTCACAACTAGTTATTGGGCCACCCTGTATACTGGAAAATAATTTAAGAATGTAGTACTCATGTTTATCTACAAGTTATGTATTTAGTTTTTTCTCCGATCTCCGTTAGTATAGGAAATATGGACCACCGCGCGCTTAGTAACTCACCCTGTATAATAGTAAAAAAGTTATGACCTTCCAAAGTTTTTCAAAATCTAAATCATAAGAGTCCCAGCCCTGTAACCGATAGAGATGGCTATCCTTATCACTATAGCACTTGCTGTCTTTTTCTCTCTTCTCAAAATCAATAGAGATAGAGAAAATATCTCTATTCGTTAACACATTAACAAATCCGCCACTGATGATAAATAACACCCTTTTGTCTTGTTAAAGGATTCTGGATGAACAATATTGTGTTCTTTTGAATGTTCATTCAAAAATTATAAACTACTTTTACTTATATCCTACACAATCCAATGTCCACAGGTGCAGGTAAATTTATCACCTTTCCCTATCAAATAGCATTGAAAGGTGATTTTACCTGTACCTACCTGTGGACATCGGATTGTGAACGGATAATATATGACTTTCAGAGGTTACTTGCGAAATTTTTCAAAAAAAAGGCCCTTCGTCCATATATCAAATCAACGAAGGACCCTTTTACTTTGGGGGATTCACACAATCAAGTAACCAAAAAAAAAATTACCATTTCAACCAAATCACTGACGTCAATATACAAAACAAAACAAAAAACCGAGTAAAGTAGTAGTGCAAGAATCAAATAGTAATAGAGCTAATACATGTGCTTGAGTGTTGGGTGCAGCTCTGCTCAATGGCGGCCGGGTTGCAATCCTTCACCTGATTTCCTCCTGTTGGGCGGTCCAAATGGGCGGCGGCAAGAATCACACGAGACTGATCAGAAACTGAGCAATAGATAATACGCGTTTAAGAAGAGGCAACTCAAACGCGTATTACAATAGACTAAAATGCACACATATTAACAGGCCCTCTCTAACTAAGGCCTGATCTATTTAAGTAAGTATAAAGTAACGTTCCAGGAACAAATGAAGCACACCAAAGTCGCATAATATATTTATGTATACCTACATTTAAAACGAAACATGTAAATATCTGATGGTACGTATGTACAAGTAATTTGATTGTGTGAGTGTTTGAAACATTTTCAGCACTAACTTAACTCTCTAGGGGGGGTAGGACCAACCCTTACCATCCCAAATGGAACAGGGGGTCGAGTGATACCTGTTTCAAAAGAGTGTTCAATTTTCTTTCAAATGACATCAAATGGAACGTTCTTTTAAAAAAGGTATCACTCCTCCCATTGTTTCATTTGAAATAGTTAAGGTTGGTCCCACACTGCCTAGAGGGGGTGTGGTACCATACAATCAAATTACGTATACGAGCAGATATCTAGCCTGTTTCGTTTTTAATAGTAAACCCTGTATATATTCTGCGACTCTACGTATCTCTAGATCCATTAAAAAAACGAGATCTACAAAATTGTCAGCTTACGGTTCGTGTCAACGCTTGTCCCAGGAATAATAAACACGCTCTCGTAATCACGGTAAGACTCGGACTCAACCGTCCTACAAGTAAAAATCCGACTTACTAATACTATATCCCTCAACCCATTTAGCTTATGATGAATATAGAGTATAAGAAACTTACTTTTTCAAAGGCACTTGACTTTCAGCGGCTCCGCTTCCATTTCTAGCGTCGGATATTCTACAAGCTACCATGTTGTATGCTGAAAAAATATTTCAAAATTAGGTAATTATTGACCATTGAGGAAATTTTAAGTATTTAAAAAACTACTCTGTGTAATAATAGTGTAAAAAATTATTGTTAGATGTGTGCTCATATATGGGGTAAAAAAGCGGTAAGTTCTTGGGGGCCTGAAAGCTAAAATGCAATATTAGAATGGGCCTGATTGCATTATGATTTAAGCTGTAATTTACCTATAGAATACATACATTTTAGAGAGCGCTTTACGTTTTTTGGAACAAGAAAAAATATTAATTTTTCCAATAATTGACAATATATACAACTACACCTAGAAATACCCCTTACCTTTTTCTTGTTTCCGTCTTTTTCGTTTGTTGCAAATCTTGACAGCGCAAACTGATAGAATAATGGCAACGATAAAGAACAGGAATCCTCCCACTACTCCAGCCGTGATAGCCTATGTAAAAATACACATTATACAACTGTTATAATAATATTTATATCAGTGGCGGCTCGTCAGAGGAATTGAAAATTTAATCTCAGTTTTTTTATTCCTGATTCCTAATTAAAATAATAATTCACAAATAAATACACTTTCCAAATTTTGATATTTCAATGTAATTTAGAAAAATCTGACAACAATATTTCAATCAATCCGGCGCCTCCACGACAAAAATCTGTGAATCCGGCCCGAAGGGCCGGAGTTATACGCGAGCCCGAAGGGCCGGAGTTATACGCGAGCCCGAAGGGCCGGAGTTATACGCGAGCCCGAAGGGCCGGAGTTATACGCGAGCCCGAAGGGCCGGAGTTATACGCGAGCCCGAAGGGCCGGAGTTATACGCGAGCCCGAAGGGCCGGAGTTATACGCGAGCCCGAAGGGAGTAATTTTTCACTAGAAAATTTTGAAATTTTCCTTTAATGAGCTCCTCATTTTCTTCTTTCTCCTGGAAAAATTTCACAAGTTTTGCTTTATTAGTTTTCCAGAAATAAATTGAAATGTGAGAGGATGAATTTTCCTTAATTTTGCTTAAATAAGTCAATTTTCCAGAATTTTTCCTGAAGTGATTTTTCACTGGAAAATTTTAAAATTCCCGTCATTTCTCAAAAAAAATTCTTCGTTAATTTCATAATTCCCCCGATTTTCCCCTTAGTTTTTGCAATTTTCGGAAAATTCGTGAATCCCGTCACTTTTTGTAATTCTTGTTATTTTCGTAATTTTTTGAAAATTGTCACAATTTTTTTAATTCCCGTGATTTTTTCATATTTTTCATAATTTTTGAATAATTCCTGTAGTTTTCAGATTTCCGTAATTTTTTAATTCCTGTAATTTCTCAGAAAACTCCGTTATTTTCATAATTCCGAAATTATGTAATTCTCGTAATTTTCGTATTTTATTTTGGGAATTTTCGAGATTTTGTAATTCCTGTCATTTTTCAGATAATTCTTGTTATTTTCATAATACCCCTTTAGTTTTTACAATTTTCGAAAAACTCGAAATTTTCGTGATTCCCATTATTTTCGTAATTTTTTAATTTCCGTAATTTCTCAAAAAAAATTCGTTGCTTTTATAATTCCCCCTAAATTTTTGAAATTTTCGAAAATTGATAATTTTCGTTTTTTTTTTTGGGGAATTTCGAAATTTTTTAATTCTTGTCATTTCTCAGATAATTCTTGTTATTTTCTAATTCTCCCTTATTTTTTTCAATTTTTGGAAAACTTGGTAATATTTATTATTCCCGCAATTTTTCGCGCTTTTCCCGTCGTAATTTTAGTAATTATTTGTACATATTTTCAATTTTTTAATTTTCAACTTTCCTAATTTCCAAAAAAATTCGAAATTTTCTAATTCTCCCTAAGTTATTGTGATTTTCGTAATTTTGAAAACTTGTGATTTCCGTTATTTTGGGAATCACCGTAATTCACGTAATTTTGGAATAACTTTGTAATTCTTTTCCGTAATATTTTGTAATACCCGTAATTTTTGTAATTTTCGTAGTTCTTTGTATTTTCTTTAATTCCCGTAATTTTTATAATATCTCATAATTTCGGTAAATTTTCGTCATTTCCGTTATTTTACTAAGTTCCGTAAATTTTTATAATTCCCATTATTTTTCGTAATTTCGTAACTTTCCAAAAATTAGTAATATATAAATAATTGACGTAATTTTGGAGTAACTTCGTAATTCTTTCGAGTAATATTTGGCAATTCTCATAATTTTTGTAATTCCCGCAATTTTTTGTTATTCCGTGATTCTCGTCATGTTATGTAATTCTCGTAAATGTTTGCAATTCTCATAATTTTTCATATTTTACGTAATTCACGTAATTTTTCGTAACTTTTCAAAAATTATCGTAATTTTGAAATGAGGAAAAATAAGGATAAAATCGCGGAAAGTGATGATGAAATCGTAAAAAAAAGAGTCAAAAATCGCAAAAAAAATATGAGTCAAAAATTTCAAAAAAAGTGAGTTTAAATTCGCGGAAAAGTAAGATGAGATTAGCGGAAAAAGGAGTAGAAAGTCACGAAAAGTGAGGATAAAATCGCGGAGAATGAAATAGGAATCGCAGAAAAGTGAGGATAACATCGCAAAAAAAAGTGAGACAAGAATCGCGGAACAATGAGACAATATCTACAGAAAAGTGGGTTTACAATCGCGAAAAAGTGGATTTAGAATCGCAGTAAGTGATGGTAAAATTGCAAAAAAATGCTTTTTTCAAATGGGATGCCCTAAATTTCGCCTGCTGCGCAAAATTCATTTTTTTTTTTAGCCTCCTCACTTTGAAATAGTCACGAGCCGCCACTGATTTATATTAGTTACCTTATGCTTAACACGGGCAGGCACTGAAAATTTCACTTCCTCGCTTCCCTCGTAGCTTTGCGTACCATGCGCAAATATGCGGAAATAATAGGTCCTCCCACCAACTAAATTTTTAACTAAAAAAGTCACAAAGTAAATCAACTCCTCCTTTAAACAAAATAATAATTCACCTAAATAATGAGTATCTTCAGGGCGTATTTGAGCCTTATTCAAAGTCTTCCAAGGCCCATCAGTCCGATACTTAATCACGTAATGGTGTATAACAACGCTACGTTCTAGAGGTGGTTCCCAGGTGATCAAAAACCCGTGATCCACTTCAGTTACAGTAAGGTTCCTTGGCGATCCAGGCTTGGGACCTATATACATTTTTTCAATTTTTTTTACAAATTCATTCAACAATTACAAATTCTTACCTAAATTTTCATTATTTGGTGCAGGATTATTTATAGGGGATGGGGTATTTTGCACGGGCAATCCAACGTCTTCTCGTGTAAGGCAAGACAAATTTATACACGTTAAAATATCAACTCATCATCAAACAAAATCAAAAACAGAAACTCTTCTTACCTGTAGTCCTAATGGTGAAAATTTTGCTCATCATGCCATCACCTAAGGCATTCTTGCCAACAACTTGAAACTCATAGGTAGTACCAGGTGCAAGCCTGTTAATAGTGACTTGAGTACTTCCCGAAGGTGTCACTGGAATGGTGGCCCAATCGGCAACGCCAGCCTCCCGGTACCACAACGTATAGTCTTGCTTGTAATCGGGGCCCCCACTATAGCCAGGCATCCAGCTTAAAGTAACACTAAACTCGGTAGCTGAACCTGTTAAGTTGTAAGGCGCATGAGGTTGGGTACCTTCTACAACCAATTGGGTTGACAGTACGATTGTTGCAACTTCGTTAGTAGCAACGCATTGGTAGAACCCAAAGTCTGATCTGCGCAGGCTTTCAATTGTAACATTACCGCCTAGGATTTTCATGCGGTTTTTAGGCAATGGAGTACCGTCTCTTCTTTGCCACTGAATTGTAGGTTTTTGCGTGTCTTCAGCTCCCATAGCTTCACAATGCATTTCAACAGTTTCGCCCACTTTTTTCTGGTACATTGCTTCAGGTTGCACCGTAAACACTGGAGGTTTTTTGACCAGTACTTCCATTTGACCAGAACTACCTTTGGTACCATGCGCATTGTATGGTGTACATGTGTATTGACCCTGGTGGTTCTCGTTTACTCGAGTAAACAGTAATGAGCCATTATTCATTACAACAACGTCTTTTATCTGGTAGGGTTCCAGTACTCGTTTGTCTTTGGTCCAAGTGACGTATTGCATGGGGGGGTTGGCTTTGATGTAGCACTGTATTACCCCGGCCAATCGGAACGGCAAATATTGGATGGTGGGGGTGAAGGTTACTCTGGCAGGAACTGGAATAGAAAAAACGTCAGCACTGTCAGGTCTGATACGAAGTTGTTGAGGAGTTAATCATGACTCTCTTATCTTGGATTTTTGTGGTATAGAATTTTTTTGAGTTAGAGTTGGAAGGTTCCTAAACACATAAAAAAATATTTGGTTCCGTGAAGTTGATGAAATTTCCAGGGAAAACACTGTAAATAAAGATGGACGTTGTAAGTCTTAAATGTGTCTTTTAGATTAAAAAAATCATAACTTTCTTATTTTGGATTTTTGTGTTATAAAATTTGGTTGGGTTATAATTGAAAGGTTCCTGAACACATAAAAAAATATTTGGTTCCATGAAGTTGATCAACTTTCCAGGAAAGTCACTGTGAATGGAAATGGAGGCCGTAGGCCTTAAATGTGTCTTTCAGATTGAAAAAATCATAACTCTCTCGTTTTGGATTTTGGTGTTATAAAATTTTGTTGGGTTAGATTTGAAAGGTTCCTAAACACATAAAAAAATATTTGGTTCCATGAAGTTGATCAACTTTTCAGGAAAGTCACTGTGAATGGAGATGGAGGCCATAAGTCTTAAATGTAGCTTTCAGATTGAAAAAATCATAACTCTCTTATTTTGGACTTTTGTGTTATAAAATTTTGTTGGGTTATAGTTGAAAGGTTCCTAAACACATGAAAAAATATTTGGTTCCATGAAGTTCAACAACTTTCCAGGAAAGTCACTGTGAATTGAGATGGAGGCCGTAGGCCTTAAATGTGTCTTTCAGATTGAAAAAATCATAACTCTCTTATTTTGGATTTTTGTGTTATAAAATTTTGTTGGGTTAGAGTTGAAAGGTTCCTAAACACATAAAAATATATTTGGTTCCATGAAGTTGATCAACTTTCCAGGAAAGTCACTGTGAATGGAGATGGAGGCATAAGTCTTAAATGTAGCTTTTAGATTGAAAAAATCATAACTCTCTTATTTTGGCTTTTTGTGTTATAAAATTTTGTTAGGTTAGAGTTGAAGGGTTCTTAAACACATAAAAAAATATTTGGTTCCATGAAGTTGATCAACTTTCCAAGAAAGTCACTGTGAATGGAAATGGAGGCCCTAGGCCTTAAATGTGTCTTTCAGATTGAAAAAATCATAATTCTCTTATTTTGGCTTTTTGTGTTATAAAATTTTGTTAGGTTAGAGTTGAAGGGATCCTAAACACATAAAAAAATATTTGGTTCCATGAAGTTGATCAACTTTCCAGGAAAGTCACTGTGAATGGAAATGGAGGCCCTAGGCCTTAAATGTGTCTTTCAGATTGAAAAAATCATAATTCTCTTATTTTGGCTTTTTGTGTTATAAAATTTTGTTAGGTTAGAGTTGAAGGGATCCTAAACACATAAAAAAATATTTGGTTCCATGAAGTTGATCAACTTTCCAGGAAAGTCACTGTGAATGGAAATGGAGGCCCTAGGCCTTAAATGTGTCTTTCAGATTGAAAAAATCATAATTCTCTTATTTTGGCTTTTTGTGTTATAAAATTTTGTTAGGTTAGAGTTGAAGGGATCCTAAACACATAAAAAAATATTTGGTTCCATGAAGTTGATCAACTTTGTTAGGTTAGAGTTGAAGGGTTCTTAAACACATAAAAAAATATTTGGTTCCATGAAGTTGATCAACTTTCCAGGAAAGTCACTGTGAATGGAAATGGAGGCCCTAGGCCTTAAATGTGTCTTTCAGATTGAAAAAATCATAACTTTCTTATCTTGAATTTTTGTGTTATAAAATTTTGTTGGGTTAGACTTGAAAGGTTCCTTAACACATAAAAAAAATTTGGTTCCTGTATAGTATATTAATAACTTGAATATGGATGCTGTTTTCATGAGACAAATAGGAGGTAGTTTCAAGATAACTTCAATCAAAGTTGTAGGAGGACATAAGGTCTGTTCTCACAAGAGTTTGCAAACAATCACTCAGCTAAGTTACCAATTTATCTTGGAATAACGGCATTGAAAATACATATGGGCTATGCTTTCTGACAGGCTGCAAACTCTTGTGAGAACAGACCTATAAGCTAAACATACTTACATTCAACGTCAAGATAGGCCGAAGCACTCTGCGGTTCCCCAATTCCGTTACTAACTTCACAAAGATACTGTCCAGAATCGTCCGGAATAACAGGATTGATAACCAACGAACCATCTTTCCTGATGGTAACACGAGTCTCTAATGCAGCCAACTCTTTAACCGGTGCCCCTTCTCTGAACCATTTCACTGTGACGTTACCTGGTTGCGCTTTGGCTTCACATTTGAATTGTACCTTGAATCCATTCATTAATATAATTTTTTGAAAAATTACTTATTTGCTAGGTGGTACCTTTTCTCCTTCTTGGGTAGTTTTGTTGGTGGGTGGTACCATTATAACTGCTCCACCTGCTATGATGACACGGGCAGTGTGCGAAATTTGCCCTTCACCGTTTCGGGCTATACAAGTGTAATCGCCTATATCTTCGTGACGTATGTTGGATATGCGTAATTCTGTACCGTCGTTAAATATGCCTAGAATTGGTTGGGGATTAATAAGTAACATAACAGTTGGATTAAGACAACAAACAATGGTTGGGTATTAATGAGCAACACAACAGTTGGATTAAAATAATGACTACCACATTTGAACTGGGACAACAATGGTTGATGGGTATGGGTAATCACTACAATATTTGGATTGAGTATGAGTGATGACCACAACATTTGGATTGTGACAAAATAAATACAAGGTGTGCAAAAATAATTCATTACCTATATTACCTATGGTGGCCGTTGGGTCCACCGGGTTGGCGTCTTTGTACCATAAAATCTCGGGCGTCGGGGTACCTTCGGCCTGACAATTCAATATTATAGCGTCACCCAAATTCACATAAATGACATCTTCGGGTGTCACTACAAATCTGGGGGGCGCGTGCACGTCCAAATGGAACCAGGTGCCGTTCTTGTGTTGGTTCGGGGAACGGTTAAGGAATACCACTTTGCATTCGTACCTAAAACAATGTCATTGTAATCATAGTTATTTTTGATTGTTGTACAATTAGGTACCATCCTTGATCTGATTCTCTGATATTGGTGAGATTAAGGGAGGCGGCACCATAATTCGAATCTGAAGCGACTCTTGAGACTCTGCCTTCGTACCCTTCCCCACTATGAGTCGGGTAACTTTCGTACCAGATGTAAATCGGAATGTCCTGTCCCTTTAAAAAGTACTCAATCAAGGTGCGGCTCTTCTAGATTTTGGGAGAGAAAACAACGAAAAAATAATAATGACTTTAATCTTCCTATAATGGTTAGTAAGAGCTTTATTAGACAATTTATATCCAAAATCAAATCACTTTGACGTTGACTCTCAACCCTTTTCTGGTTATTCGCTCGTAAATGTTGTGTCAGCCAAATCCCCCGCATATTAGCCCAAGCAGCCACTATTCTCTAAAGGAAATTTATAATTGTATTTGCACCATAACCAATTTTTAGTAATCTACTTTACTTAAGATAAAAGTCATTATTTAATAAATCGTTGAAATCTACTTTATACATGCATCAAACAGTCATGCCAACTACAATCTAGATAGAAGAGATAGAGAGACAGATATATGAAGGTAATAATTGTGCTGTAATGATAATGGCAAGTGCCTTTAAACAATAATCAATCTGCTCTCTATATCCCTTAAAACCTCAAATATAATCTTGCCCCGAAAGCATTTATCATCTCAGAGATTGTAAGACAAGACAACATAAATTAGAATGAAGTAAACGCTTTCGGGGTTGTGAATGAAATATTGCCTTAAAAGTTGGCTACAAGACAACTTAATCCAAACCTCGTCCCATAATAGTAGAGAGCAGATAAAGTTAGTAAAAGAGAAAGTGGGAAGCATGATCGTACCGTGTCGCCTACCTTCTTCTCCCATTGGAGGACATACGGTACAGGGTGGCCTTCGGGGAATTCCACCTGGCAATTGAACACCACCGATTCGCCCAAGATGGCGGTGATGTGCACCGCATCTTGGTACCCCGCACCGCCCGGTACGATGTTGCCTGAGGTCGGACCGTTGATCGATGACGTGTTTGCTGAAACTGAAATTTCAGTTAATATAACTTGTTTTGTATTATGAAGGCACTTAAAAAAATTGAAAAATTGATAAATCACCCCAATTTGCTTAACACGATTTTATCTCAGGAACTATAAGTGCAAATGAGCTGAAATTTTCAGGAATTGTAGTCCTTTGAAAGGGATAAAATTCAGTGAAAGATTCAGCTTTCTATCTATAATAGAAAAAAAGTTACGACCTTTGAAAGTTCTCCGAAAAAATCATAAAGGGGGTACCTTCTTACTAAAATGATGAAATTTCAAATTTTTTTTTGTCGAGATTTTGTGTCCTAATGGTCCCTCGTGATACCCTGAACTCCATAAACTAAATTATTCTCAGATTTGAAGCCGAAATCTATGAAAAAAGGCACTCAAAAAGATATCAGAATCTGATGATTCTTCACTTAGATATACTACTTTTTTAAGGTCTTGTTTGTTCCACTGTTTTCCTTCTTATGTTGACTTCATAGACTAGTTAGTTTCTCCTGTTCAATGGGTTCAGTTAATTTATTATCTTTTACTGTCTTATCTCTATTGCCAGCCAAAGATTCACCTTCACAAGTTTTCATAGCTACAGCATTAAGTGGCTGCTTTTCTTGGATAACTTGAGAGGTTTCACCTTTTTCCTCAACAGTATCTTTTCGTTTTGAGGCAGGTACCACATCAATATCATGACTTTGTTCTATGTCAGTTATAATTGGCACATGCAACTACAGGAATTTCAATAATTTCAGAACTTTTTTCTGATAATTGAATCACAGGTACATTTTCTTGGACTTTAGTAGGTTTTGCTTCAACTCCCTCAATTGTTTCAATTTGTTCTACCATATCCACATTTATAGTTTCTTCAACATCCACACTTTCTTTGAGTTATTCCTTCAGGTTTTTCAGCTACTGAAACAGCTGTTTGAGATTTTTCAAGTTCAGGTACATCTTCTCGAGGCATTACCTGTTCTTCAATAACAGAGCTATTTTCCTGAGTTTTTTCTTCAGGTTTTCCAACTTCAAACACTTCTTTATGAGCTGTATTAACAATAGGGTTTTTCATCAACTGGGGTATCTTCGTGGGCTGTTTCAATTTCTTTAACATCGAATACACTTTTTTGAGATAATTTTTCAGGTTCTACAACAACAGGAACATCTTTCTCAGGCATTCTAGAATCTTCAACCGCAGGCACATGTTCTTCCACCAGAGTGATATTTTCCTGAGCATTCTTCAATTCCTTAGTTATAATCAGATCTTCCTTAGCAATTTCAGGGTCTTCAACAACAAAAACACTTTCTTCGATTACATAGGAACATCTTCTACAGACATTTGAGCCTCAAACACATTTGTTTCGGTTAGTCCGCTTAGGTTTTTCTTCTGCAACTTGCTCAACAATAACTTTTTTAACTTGCTCAACTTGCTCTACAGAAGCCTTTTCAACCTGCTCTACAGGAGCTTTCGTAACCTGTTCTATAGGAGCTTCTTTAGCCTGTTCTACAGGAGCTTTCGCAACCTGTTCTATAGGAGCTTCTTGAACTTATTCTACAGAAGTTTCTTCAATCGGTTCTACAAAAGCTTCTTCTTCTTGTTTTTCTTTTTGTTGCCTGAGTTCTTCGTCTTGTTTTTCTTGTTGTCGTTTGGTCTCTTGAAGTTCGAACATTTTGCGCAGAAGTTCTTCAACTTTTTGTTCGTCCATTTTTGCTTGTTGTCTTGTGATAGGCATAAACAGAATGTTCTGGAGTTTCCCTCAAACTCTCTTCAAATATCTTCTCTGGTCTTTTGTTGAAGTTCCAAACACGTCGGTGAACTCACTCGAAGATTCACTATCACAGTCAAAATCGAGTATAGAGTCACTTCCGGGGTAATTTACACGATCGGTTAAGTCTCTTTTTGTGATTGTCACTGTTTGCACTGACTAACTGTCCCAGTGTTCAGTTCAGTTCACTAAATGTTCAGTTTTTACACTACACTAGTGTCGTCGCACTTCCGCAATTGGATGGATTTCACTCTGCAGTCCTTTATGTCTCACTTCTGACACCAATTGTCACGGCTTTGGATTGGCTGACAGAAATCCTAGGCTAGTTTCGTTTATTCCAAAAATCAAAGTCCAATCAACACAGCAATAATTTATTCCACGTAACAATACACTCTGACACTAATTACTTTAATAACTAACTCAACAATTAAACTCTTTACAACAATAATCACTATTTATATCGTATCACAGTCGAACTGAAACTTAAAAACTACAAAGCAATAGCAGCCTTTTCTTTATATATCCCTAAATCTATTCTTATAAAATCTAGAATACACACGATAATCTTATTTTCCCGATTAAAGTGGAATAATTCGCTAGATTCTAGGATATTCGACAGCAAATGCCTAAGATTCTTGACAGCCTGGCGGACGCCACAATATAAAGTTAGAATTTATAAGATTATCCACTTTTTGTCAATTTACCCATTAACAGGAATTAGTAATGTAACTTTACCAAAGTAGTAATTTATTGTGACAAGTTATTCGAGTACAAATGAAGAATTGTCGCGGAACTTATGGGTGGACCTCTGCGGGACGAGCGCAGCGAATTCCCCAGCCATCTATTCATCAATATGTTATTCAAGTACAATACTAACCTGATTCACTCAGTTGAGAATTTTTCCCATTAGTTCAAAAACTACATGTTTTAGGTGAGTGTCTTATTTGAACAGTTCAACAGTATATTGGTGAGTAGATGGCTGCGCTCGTCCTGTAGAGGTCCAACCCATAAGTGCCGCAACAATCCACTTATTTGTACTTGAACAATAACTTATTATATAAAGTCAGAAATTGTAAGATTATCCACTTTTTATAAATTTGCCTTTTAACAGGAATTAGTAATGTTACTTTACCAAACTAGTAACATAATGTGACAAGTTATTCAAGTACAAACGAATGAATTGTTGTGGAACTTATGGGTGCACCTCTGCGGGACGAGCGCAGCGAGTTCCGCAGCCATCTACTCATCAATATACTGAACTGTTCAAATAAGATACTCACCTGAAACGTGTACTTTTTAAAGTAATGAGAATAACTCACATTTGAGTGAGTCAGGTTAGTACCGTAATTACACAACATATTGATGAATAGATGGCTGCGGAACTCGCTGCGCTCGTCCCGCAGAGGTCCACCCATAAGTTCCGCAACAATTCACTCATTTGTACTTGAATAACTTGTCACATTATGTTACTAGTTACTAGTTTGGTAAAATAACATTACTAATTCCTGTTGAAAGGCAAATTGACAAAAAGCGAATGATCATAATCTTTCAAATTTTAACTTTAAGTTCAAGTACAAATGAGTGAATTGTTGCGGAACTTATGAGTGGACCTCTGCGGGACGAGCGCAGCGAGTTCCGCAGCCATCTACTCACCAATATACCGTTGAACTATTCAAATAAGACACTCACTTGAAACGTGTAGTTTTTGATCTAATGAGAAATAACTGACATTTGAGTTTAGAATCGTACTTGAACAACGTATTAGACTGTCCAAGGCTGTCAAACTTAAATTAAAATGTCTCCTTCATTGTTAAATTAAAATGTCCGCTAAGAGGCACACAAACCTTTGTTTGCTTGTCAAAGTCACGTGTTTTGGATAGGCTAATTAATGAATAGATGTAAAGGCTATAGGTGGGGTGTCAATACTGTCAATATATAAAAAAACACCCTGTATCTACTTCAAGTTTGTATAAGAACATCCCACCAAAAGATGTGCCAGACACACCTTGTATATTTCTGAATAATCCAACAGACATTCTCATCTTTAATATTTTTTTCACAAGTCATTAATCTAAGTAATATTCATTCATATAAATACAGGGTGTTCCATTGAAAAAACAAGTAAAAAAACAAGTTGTGTTTGTCATAATATTTTTTACGTACATCCTGTACATATTATAGGAAAACTATACCTGCTTGCGGTCAACCCTGTACATACATATAAAATGTATTTTAATTTAAATATGCCTCTTACATTTGATTTGATGTTGCATCTAAGTTATCCACAAATGTTATTCAATAATTCTTGAAGACAATTTAAAGATGTTTGTCATAAAACAAGACAAAACCCAACATGTTTCCAGACAACTGTATTACGTCTGAAGACCAAAAGACGTCGTTTAAAAGAATGTCTTAGAAAAGTACGTCTTACGCAGACGACAAACTTAAAAATAGCTTAACAACAATCAACAGATTAGTGGGATTGCTTCATCCGTTACTTAACAAGGACAGTAAACTAACTTTAAAAAACAAACTATTACTGTACAAACAAGTTGTTATCAGACCTACTCTACTTTGCGGAGTAACAGTTTTTTCACAGCCAACACGTCAAAATAACAGGAAACTGCAGGTGTTTCAAAACAAGGTAATCCGTAGTATGTCTGCAATGCTGACCTACATACGGACCTGAGCGTTGATACAATCCAGGAGTACCTTGTTGAGAAACATACGCGGTTTCTTGACAAAGTAACTAACCATATAAATGACATAGACGATAACTATACTATTAACCCTGACAGGATTATTTTCAGAAATCTAAAAGCTCTACTTCTCTTCTAGTGAATGTCCTCCCCCTCCTTTTTCTGAACAAAAATTGACTTAAAACACAACACATGGCAGTGAGTAGACTCACCCAAAATTGCGTAAGAGTGCTGTCGCACTAACGCAGAATTAAACACCAAAGAAGAAAACAACTTAAAGATATCCACTTGTTTGTACTTGAATAACTTGTCAAATTATGTTACTAGTTTGGTAAAGTAACATCACTAATTCCTGTTAAAAGGCAAATTGACAAAAAGTGGATAATTTTACAAATTCTGACTTTATATAGTAAGTTAGTTTTTAAGTACAAATAAGTGGATTGTTGCGGAACTTATGGGTGGACCTCTGCGGGACGAGCACAGCGAGTTCCGCAGCCATCTGCTCACCAATATACTGTCGAACTGTTCAAATAAGACACTCACCTAAAACGCGTACTTTTTAAACTAAAGAGAATAACTCACATTTGAGTGAGTCAGGTTAGTATCGTAATTACACAACATATTGATAAATAGATGGCTGCGGAACTCGCTGCGCTCGTCCCGCAGAGGTTCACCCATAAGTGCCGCAACAATTCACTTATTTGTACTTGAATAACTTGTCAAATTATGTTACTAGTTTGGTAAAGTAACATCACTAATTCCTGTTGAAAGGCAAATTGACAAAAAGTGGATAATTTTACAAATTCTGACTTTATATAATAAGTTATTTTTCAAGTACAAATAAGTGGATTGTTGCGGAACTTATGGGTGGACCTCTGCGGGACGAGCGCAGCGAGTTCCGCAGCCATCTACTCATCAATATACTGTTGAATTGTTCAAATAAGATACTCACCTGAAACTTGTACTTTTTAAACTAATGAGAATAACTCACATTTGAGTGAGTCAGGTTAGTATCGTAATTACACAACATATTGATGAATAGATGGCTGCGGAACTCGCTGCGCTCGTCCCGCAGAGGTACACCCATAAGTTCCACAGCAATCCACTCGTTTATATTTGAATAATACTAGTTTGGTAAAGTAATATTAACCAATTCCTGTTAAAAGGTATATTGACAAAAAGTGGATGATCTTACAAATTCTGACTTTATACAATAAGTTGTTGTTCAAGTACAACAGTACAGGGTGTTTTTTTTATACATTGACACCCCACCTACAGCCTTCTTCTTTACAAGTAGATGAAAGGTATAAATACAAAAGTTGTACAGTATGGGCTAAATTTTTAGAAATCATGGTCAGAAACAAAAATTGAATCACAGAAAAAAAAAATCATAAAAAGCAGGTAAATAATGACAACGGCTTTTATCAGTAGAATTTACATTGATATTAGTATATCAGTAGACCAGTGGCCAAATCAGTAGACCTAGTAACACTGTCCAGAAGATGGCTAGGAATATGGATGAAAACTACATTAAGAAATAGATGAAGACAAATGAATATTATAAGTAGAGGTAGAACAAGGATAGATTTGTCTTATTCTTTACCTGTATGTGGTACGTAGATAGAAGCGACAATGTAGACGAACAATAGCTGCGCAGATCGGAACGGAGCGGCCGTGTAGTCGGACGGGTAGGCCCGGGGGTGCGTGCGCATGCCCATTCCGGCGCTTCCATAGTCTCTGCTAGCGCGCAGCTCGCCTCATTGTCGCCGGGCTCAGCTTCAGTTGCGCGATCAGCTTCGTCTAAAACCAAATCAAAATTAAACAAGTTTCAACACATAAAATACATTTACCCCAACAATAATAATTTATCTTAAACTAAAAACTACACTTTCCACAATCGCCTGGTGCATTTTTCAAACCGAAAGGTGGCCTGCATTTTACGAATTCGCGATTTTTTCGGGATGAAAACTAAAAAAAAAAAAATGAGGGAGTGTGACGTTTCTCTACTGAAAAAGGGGGGAAAAGGGAAGACCCGGACCCGTGCGGCAGCCACGAGACTGTGCCGTGCGAGGGTGTTTTGTTGGACTTCGGGAGCGTAGAGGAGGAGAGGGCATCGCATATTGATCCGGTTCTACGTCGACGTCGAGATTGGCGCGGAACAAAAGTTCAGTTTTCCTTTATATATATATATATATATACAGAGCTAGAGCCGAAAAAATGAATTTTTCCCTATATTATAAGGTGCAGTACTTGCAAAGTTATACTACTGATTATTAGTAAGACTTGAGTAAGTAAGACAAGAGGTGCAATAGTATTTGCAAAATTATACTACTACTAGTAAGGCTTGACAACGTTGCTAGAGAGAAAATGTTTGAAATCCGCAACTAGCCCAATTATTCTCGGCCCTGGTCATTACAATGCATATTGTACGGCTCAACAAATTCGATTGTAAACCATACATTATTCAATTTCAAGTAAAATGTAGATGTGCAACTGACGTTATTGTATATTGTGGCAATTTTTATACTTCATTAGGCTCATTTGATTGATGATCCAAGCTATTGTAGTCTAATTTTTCCAATATATAATCCTCGGTTCATTGTTTTTATACAAAATTCCTTGCACCTACTACATACAAAGATTCATTAGTTCATTAAATTTACGATGCAACAAGTTTCGATTAGAACTACCTACTTTCGAGAGGGGGCTTAAAATTCACTGGTCCCCCGTCAATAAGTTATCGCACCTGAGGGAAATCAGGGCTCTGTCATTTGCCTACCCTTTTTGACCTATTTCGAGGTTCGTTTCTATGAATTTCGAGCGGTTATTAATTGGTTGTTTGGGTATTATTGCCCTTTGGAGAGGGATTTTTCATGCCAGGAAAATGCAATTTGTAACTTGCGATATGTGTATTTTTCTCTTGTAGTACATGCTCTTGTGTCTCTCTCTTAGTGCCTTAAGTGTCGCAGAATTCTCCCAGCTATACTACTTTCAGCAAGGGTGGTTGGAGTAGACGTATTGCAACTTGGGAAGGGAATGCAGTAAGAATTTATATGTGTGTTTTTCTATCGTAGTACATGCACTTGCACATAAGTCTGTCTCTCTCTTAGGGCATTGTGTATTTGTCTCTTTCATTATCGGTGTTTTTATAAATTAATAAGCGAATCATGTTATGACAGGTACAACAACTAAAACCCTATAAAAGTATTTTCGCTATTTTCCTGAGTATGTAAGTAATTTCAAATTTATACAGGGTGATTCACGTAGCCTGTGTATTAGATGCTATATACTGGGTGATGTAATATGTAGCCTGTGCATTAACTTGCAGGTAGATTAGTAGGTACCTATCAGTATATTATCTAATCCACTTGTAAATTAATTCAGAGGCTACATACATCACCCTGTATAGTTAGTCACTTCACTAGGTTTTAATGTTTTCATAGATTTCTGGTATTTCTTGAGATCATTATGGCAGTAGAACCTGTCTTCACGTTGTCAATAGGATCCACAGTTTCACAGACTTTACAAACAATAGACCTATCTATTTTACTAGACAAAGAGGTGATAATACGAGAACTTATTAGATAGAAAAAGATGCAGAACGCTTATTGAGCAAGACGAGGCAAAACGTACCAAATTATGTTAGACGTACGTATAGCAATCCGTTCTTATTATTTGTACGGGATAAAAAAGGAAGGAGGAGAACGGCGTGATGTGCAACGTATTTGTCAAATAACAACACAAACAATTGAAAATGGATCACTTGTCAAGCTATGTCAAGTTGAATATCAAGCATAATTTTATCCTTGTCAGACCACGGGCAATGAACAAGGACAAGAAGATGCCCAGTGTACAAAAGGATTACTTCACACCTGTACTAGTTAGCCAATAAAAATGCATTGCCTCGTGTTGCGCGCGCATACAGGTAAAAATAGATAGGTCTATTTTTTTCATTCAAAAAGTAAAATGAGTGGAAAGTTGAAAATATACTCTGTTTCCTTTTCGTTGTTACATTTACGTGACATACCTTACAATGTTCAAATTTTGATTATTACCGGCGTTTGATAATATTCTAGAGGGAATCAAGATCCAGGGATTATCCAAATGCCCTTTGGATTAAAGAACGCCCCAGCAACTTTCCGAAGAGTAATCGTTGGATAATTTCTCTAGAATCAAGGGCCTATAATTGTTCAAATCTTGATTATTACTGGTGCTTGATTGGCAAGGCAAGTACCTGGGTAAAAAGGTACTCGATTGTTATGTGATTGATTAACCTATATACTGAAAATACTAAAAACTCAAAGCGATTGAGTTATTATTAATGGAGTTATGATTTTTTGAAAATAATGGTGTTTTGTAAAGTAAGACTTTACAAACAATTTTTTCATTCAAAAAGTAAAGTGAGTAGAAAGTTGAAATTTTGAGAACTTTTTCCTGAAGGTTCAATGTAAAAAATACTAAAAACTCAAAGCGATTGAGTTATTATTAATGGAGTTATGATTTTTTGAAAATAATGGTGTTTTGTAGAGTAAGACTTTACAAACAATTTTTTCACTGAAAAACTAAAGTGAGTAAAGAGTTGACATTTTGAGGACTTTTTCCTAAAGGTTCAATGTAAAAAATACTAGAAACTCAAATCGATTGAGTTATTATTATTGGAGTTATGATATTTTGAAAATAATGATGTTTTGTAAAGTAAGACTTTACAAACAATTTTTTCACTCAAAAACTAAAGTGACTGGAAAGTTGAAATTTTGAGGATTTTTTCTTAAAGGTTCAATGTAAAAAATACTAAAAACTCAAAGCGACTGAGTTATTATTAATGGAGTTATAATTTTTTGAAAATAATGATGTTTTGTAAAATAAGACTTTACAGACATATTTTTCACTCAAAAACTAAAGTGAGTGAGAATTCGGAATGTAGGTTTCGAAAAGTTGATATTCTAAGTTTCAGCCTTTCCCGACCTACCGGAGGGGTTTTAGTCTCTATCCTCCAATTTTGAAAAAGGGCGTGTAATGGAGCATACTCGTCCTGCATTTATTTTTCCGAATTTTGAAGAACAAAAAATACCGTCGGATAGAGGAACAAAAAATACGTCGAAAATGTCTCTTGGCGTTTTTCGCTCCGACGCTTTGTAAGTCCGGAAAAAAAATAAATAAATTTGATCTTGGAAAATTTTGGGGACCCGACTCCTTTTTGCTTATAACTTCGGTAATTTCGAACCGATTGTCTCGAATCAAGTTTCTTTTGAAAGAAGATGAAATTACCTAAAACATTGATAGCCGTTTGCACCGACCATTTTGAGGAAGTTTTAGCGATAAGTATTCCTTAAAGTGACATTTATTTATGTAAAAATGTCATTTTAAGGAATACTTATCGCTAATGCTTCCTTAAAATGGTCGGTGCAAACAGCCATGAATGTGTCATATGAATTAATCTACGAAAACCCTTATTTTTTCAAGTTATGACGTCTTTGTTTGATGTCAAGAGTATAAACTCTCGTGAAACAAACTTTACATCATGCCATGCATTTTCCTATTGTGTTGTATTGTGTAAAGTCATTTTTTTCATCACCTCAAAAGGACAAGAAGTGTCAAGTAAGTATCTTAAGTTTCATCTTTAAATGAAAACAAAATGCTGCCTCAAATATCTCTTGGTTAAACTTGGGACAAGGACAGATTTCTATAATTCGCCCATAAGATAAATAGAGATAGGTATCCCCCACATTCTCCATCTCAACTTGTCACAATTTTATAGATCGGCGCGACCAACCCAATAGTTCATTGATGTCAGGTCATTGGCTTAATGTCGACATGAGTGTGACTAGTGACAATCACGTGGCTGTCAATTGTCATTATAGTGAATTTAATATATGAAATATATATACTATATTTTTCTCCTTTTAATCATGTGATAAAAGAAATGCTGCCAGCATTATGAGACAGCTATTCCGATTTTCTATGAACTAGACAAAAATAGACTAGTTATCGATGAATAAAAGAAGGCGCTCTATATGTTTCGTTTATGGACTTTCTTTAACCAATAGGTAACAAGCAGTTGCGACGTTGGTTATTTTGGTGACAGATGAATTATCAGCTTCCAGGAAAACTATATCCCATAAGTTGATACTTTTTTTAGGAACTGATATATTTGGGACACTAAACCAAGAAGTATATAGCTCATTATATACTAAGTGGCGCTATGTGGCATTATTTGAGTGTTGCTGCAGACACACACGAAAATTCCCCAATAACAACCCTGCTGGATATGCGGCAAACCTGAACAAAAACGGTTTATTAGCTTTTGAAAGGTTGCTGGGGCCGTGGATAGGCCAAAAGGTATCGTCTTATATCGATTATACAACTATTCCCATATGACACGAGAGGCTTAATGAGTGTGGTTGGAGTAGACGTATTGTAACTTGGAAATGCAGTAGGAATTAATATTTGTCTACAATAGAAATGTGTCTTTCTGTGTCTAACACATGCTTTTGCGCATAAGTCTGTCTCTTTCTTCGTGCCTCAATTGACTCAAAATCCACTTAGCTATACTACTTTCAGTTCATCATAACTCTTCAAACAACAATTATGTCTGACAATAGAGCACGTTCGGTAATTGCATGCTCAATGGAGGTATTTAATGACGTTGACGATATCTTTTATAATAGTGCCAGCCTTTTGATAATCCGATTATTTGCATTTATTTTAAACAAAAACGCGTGTGTATGTGTGTGACGTTCTACGGGCGGATGACGTCACGGCGACGTCGTATCGATTTTGTTGACGGCAAGAGTGAAAAC